CCCCCCAGAAACATAGCCCTGAAGTCCAAGCACACCCTCAGAGCCGGGGTTCGGAGTGCGCGCGCTGCGCGGCGGCGCGGCGCTCTCTGCTCCCGCATCTCCCTCCCTTCTCCTCTCCTCCGTTCCTCCTTCCCTCACCCCGCCTTTTTTATTTTATTTTATTTTATTTTTTTCCCCGAGCGGCGAGCGGTGCGGGCGCTGCACGTCGGCCGCGGCCCGCTTCCTGCTTTCTAATGTTCCATTGTGAGGAGCTTCCATTGTGACGTCGCACCCCTTCGGCTGGGCTTTGTCTGTCCATATATGGGCAGCTACGTCACGGAGCTTTCCCGGGGCTCGGATAAATAGGCTGCTGGAGTTCCCTGGCTGCGAGCTTTTGGGCAGCAGTGAGCTTGCTAGGTAGCGGCGGGGCTGGTGGTGGTGCTGGTGGCTGGTGGCAGCGGCGGCGGCGGCGGCGGCGGCGGTGGCTCGGGGGAGGGGGCGGGGGGCCGCGGGCGCGCGTCTGTTTGTGAGATCAATCCCGAGGCGGCGTGCGACCCCCCGAAGCCCAGATCGCCCCTGGCCCAGCCCCCACCCCACCCCCTGCACACGCCCCACCCCCCCCACCCCCACCCCTCCCCGCCGGGAACCAGCTCCTGATGGCACTATTGGCGGCTCCCACCTGGATTTACCCCCCAAAAAGAGAGCTGAGCTCCCCGAACCCACCCTTCCCCTTCTCCCTCCCCTTCCCCCCGAACTTTCGCTCTCGCATGCTGTTCCCCTGCACCACGGATCGCCTCTCGGATGCCGCTCGCCTGGAGGCTGCGTTAGGAGCGGGCGGCGGCGGCGGCGGCGGCTCGGGAGTGCTATGACCGGCAAAGTCGCGGATAAGCTGGCGGCGACCATGAGCAGTTTGCTAAACCAACTGCCTGACAGTCTGTACCCCGAGGAGATTCCCAGCGCGCTCAACCTCTTCTCCGGCAGCAGCGGCGACTCGGTGGCCCATTACAGTCAGATGGCTACAGGTAAGGGCGGCGGGCGCGCGGCGGGGAAGCCGGGGAGGAAGAGGAGGAGGAGGAGGAGGAGGAGAAGGAGGAGGAGGAGGAGAGAGCGAGCCGGCGACGGATGGCTGCAGGGACGGGCGGACGGATGGAGACGCGAATGGATGCATGGATGGAAGGCGAGGTGGGGGCGCGCTGGGAATTTTCCGGGGG